CAGCACAGATACCTGAGGCAATTTGAAATCAGTGAGCTTTCTTTCAGGGGAGCAAATTAACCCATGCACAGCTTTGTGCTTTCATATACAACCAGCTTAACCAGTGAGCACACTCAGAAATTTTGTCATAGCTGCTGTAGTTTATGAGGTTTAAAGTAAGGCATATAATCTTGTAACTGGGACGTGCTGGATGCTTAGGGACCAATAGACATCCATTCTGGTTGTAGCAGTCATGGCAGAAGCTGCTGTGTTCAGTCAAAAATGAGCTGGGTACTTTGAGCAATTTAAATAATAAGTCTTCATTAATCCATCTCATTTTCTAGAATGGTTTAGGAAATGATCACACGAGGGAGGTTGATGTTATCATTAGTATACCTAGCCTGACAGACAAGAAAGGGTTTAAAGATTCCTTGGAGAGACAAATGTTGCATGCAAATTTGTGCCTGACAGAGCTGCCAGAACCAGCTCCCTAAGCCTGGCACTCTGCAGAGCAGAGGACACAGCAAAGCACTCGAGAAAAAGTGCCACTGCCAGTGACAAAGCTCTTGAGAAGCTGAAGGAGTGAGAGGCCTGTGAAAGGCATCACAACACCAAGTTTTCTTCCACCCACTCCAAAAACGAAAACAGTGCAAGCTCTCTTACAGTGATGGTGCTGAGGCCCTGGCACAGGCTACCCAGAGAAGCTGTGGCTGCCCATTCCTGAAAGTGTCCAAGGCCAGGCTGGATGGAGTTCTGAGCAGCCTGGTCTAGTGGAAGGTGTCCCTGTCCATGGCAGGGGACTTGGAATGAGATGATTTTGAAGGTCCCTTCCAACCCAAGCCATTCTGTGACTCTGCGATTCTCCTTCAGTTGCATGTGGGTGTCAATAGTTGCCAGCACCACAACTAAAAAGGTTCATGCTCTCATTCCCCAGAGATAAATTTTAGCTGAAATTGGCTGTCTGCCACAGGGACCTGGGAAGCAGTACTTTAAAGAACAACATTCAGCTACAGAAACATGATTTGCAAGTTAAATGCAAACCTAGGAAAGTTTTGGTGGCTGCAGGCACACTCACCCACTTAAAAACTGAGCTGTGATTCAAGGTCCAGAGTCAGATTTTACAAGAATCAAGCAGATTAAAAAAAAAAAAAAAAAAAAAAAAAAAAAAAAAAAAAAAAAAAAAAAGCAAACACAGACTACAGACTTTGTTTGTCAAACCTGCTCTTACAAACAAGTTTTTTACAAAATGTAATTAAAAGTATTTACATACTGTGCCTAGTATATTATTCTGTCTTTACTGATAATCTTTATCAAACTCAGATTGGGGGGTGCTCTTAATGTCAGATGAATGCTTACAGACCGGAGTGATCATTTTTAGATGTCTTTGAAAAAATATAAAACGAATTAAGGAAATTAATTTAGGGATTGAAAACTCTAAGAAATGGGTATAGAGATTTGTCCTGATCCTAAACAAATGAATTCATCAAGGAAGTGGTAAGACTTGTCGTATGATACAGCAAGTACTTGTTCCCAATGCAAAGGAGAAGCGAGCTTGCATGTCCTGGCTGGAAAGGAAAATCTGCAGTCAGCAGTCCCTTATCCTAGATGTGTATTGAGAGTATTCTCATTTTCCTCAGACAGTGCTGCTAGAAAAGATAACAGCTTAGAAAGATGACATCCCAAATTTGAACCTTATGCTAGCCCTGGCATACCTGATACAGGAATGTCTGACATCTATCAGGGTCCTGTTTAACCATTCTGTTCAGAAATTTAAGTTTAGTCATAAAACCAAAACCTCCATCATCTCCAGCCTCTACAGGCCAGCAGAAAATGTTAAAGAATACACAGGAATGGATGCCAATCCTGATCTGTACCTAGTGCTGTTAATAATGGAGTGGTACCATTGTAACATGACTTGTTACTTGCTTATATTTTATTCAACTGAAAACTGAAAATAAAAGTGCCCGCTCTTGAGTGCTTACTAGGAATTCATGGCAAAGTCACAGCAGCCAGCAGATCCATGGGAAAAAATATGAAGTGGGGGAAGGTAAAAGGGAAGCATAATCTGGGATACCAGGAGCTGTCACCATTTTGTAAGAAACAACAGTGGGAATGAAGAGCAGTGACTGCAAACAGCAATGATGTTGTAAGAAATATCCTGTGGCCAGAGACATAACTTGACATACCAGCTGGACAGATGCAGAGGAATACATGACACGTTCTCCAAAAGAGAAGTCCCAGCAGTGCCATTTCACCTGAGAATTTATGACAGCCAAGAGCCACAGCAGGTTGAGATGAACTCATTTCAGGACGTGGCACAAGTGGAGCTAACAGAGCTGCAGCCATCTGACAGCAGGAGTATTGATACTCTGGGAGATATTTCCAACCCCATGAATCAGCGCAGAGCACCTCAGACTAATTGAACATGTGCTTGTTCATTAAGTTAGATTAAGTTAGCAACTGAACTTCCTTATTATGTTAATGTTTAATTTCAGGAAGCAGAGGGAAGTTGCTGAGAACTTTGTCTTCAAGAGGTTCTGGCTTGAACCAGTTGTTAAATACGAGCTACAAATTGCACTGCTCTTGTTAGGAGCTCACACTCCAAGTCAGACAGATCCCTATCAAACTCCGTGGTGCCTGCTGGTTCCCGAACACGGAAATATTGAGGAGACATTTTTTCATTTCTGTGAAAGCCAGACAAGGAAAAAAATACCTTTCTCATTACTTTTTTAAAAGCTAGTAATCTTCTCCTTTTCTTTTAGGGCTTCTATTACTATATTAACAGAAGAGATTAAACCATCCCGCTTTGAAAGATCAAAGGAAAAAAAATCTCTATTTTTTTAAGGGAAACTTGCTGGAGCTCCTTACTGCCTCCCCAGCATATCCAGAGTGATCGTGCCTCAGAAATGTCTCTATCTGTTGACTGTCTGTAAAGGAAGCCCAGACAATTAGCTCAGATGGAAACCTAAAGTTAATTTAAGACTAAGAGACTAAGATTGATGCCTAAAGTTAATGAGATGATTTGTAAATGATTCTTTGTTAGAAACCTACATGAGATGAGAAAACAGAATTGACCACTGCTTGTCTAAATCTTGGTTTACCTGACCAGCTGGGCACTGGCTGTATCTGCACAGCAGAGGCAAACCAAGTGCCTTTCCCTGTTCATAATTCATTCCTGGTCTTCGTGCCCTTCACATCCTTGAGCTGACATGATTCTGGATAGGTACAGCTACTCTGGGCCACATCTGCTCTCTGATTGTCTTCACACTTCCTACCAAAGGCACCAAAGGAAGGACAACACAACCCCATGTAAACCTCTTAGTACTATGAGTCACAGCTTTTCCACTTATGGTAGGATTTACCCCCTGATCTGACAATTACTGCAAATAAGTACTTAAAAGATTTTTAGACAACATCTCCTGTCTTCTGAAAGGAGAAAACACTTGGCCCTGTCTGGCCCTTTGAAATAATCAATTATTATGACTGAACTCAAGCTTCCAGTCTAAGAGGGGCCCTATATTGACATCTGTAATGACTGAGCACAGGCACAGCTGAAGTCTGTGGGTGTGGAGCACAAAATGGACACCATGGCACTGGAAAATCCACAGAGAGGACTCAAACAGCAAGGGAGTCTGAGGGATCTGAGGGTGACAGCATGGGAAGGGCACCAGTGTGCATTTCTGCTCTGGGCTGGCCGCAGAGAAGTTTCTCTGTCCCTGTGCCTCTTACAGGACAGAGGTTTGGGTGGACTGTCAGCAACACGTGTTACTTCTGGCCATTTTCCTCACAGAAAAATTAATTATTCTTAGAGATTTGTCCTTCTTAAGTTACTGTAAAAATATAATCCTGAGAACTTAGTTCTGCTAGATTCTTTTGTATTCCTTGTGCTAAGGACATCACCAGCATCAGACAGAGCTTCTGATTAGGAGCCATCATGCATAACATGAGGTTAGAACAGGTATTTGCAGCTCTTTAGAAAGTGTTTACATATTTCCATGACCCTTGGTTTTCCTCTGCTTCTAAGATAACATATTTTACATTAGTGAAGGAGCAGAGAGATGTGTTTGATGATGCTGTACACCTGTAGCTGAGAGAAAATCAAGGGCAAGTCTTGTCTCCAAATGAGCACTGATGGCCAGAAAAACATGAAGCTGAGCATATTGGCCTGATGTAAAAACACCAGGCAAAGCATCACTGAGGACCACACTTTACTACAACATAAATAACAATTTGCTCACCTACCACTTCTTCCCACCTTCTGTTATATTCTCCACTGACATTCCAACAGTGAGAGCAAATAGGGCAGCAATCACAAAAATAGGCTCATACTTAGACACAAGTGCCTTTTCCCAAGGAAAAAATTTGCCTTTGTGGAAGCATTTTCTCCTTCCAAATGAAAAGGCCCCAAGCTACTCACAGAAGTCTCTGCTGAGATTTGGACCATGTGCAGTGCACAGGTGATCATCAAGGGAGAATGGCTGGAATTTCTTCAAAATAAGGGAGAGCCCATAAAGGGAACAATCAGAGAGAAGCTGTGTATTGGGTTCAGAGAGAGCTGTTATAAAGTGTGGCAGTCTTTTTCTCTCTCTGCTGTCTCCAAACTTCAGTCTCACAACAGCTTTTCAGCTGCAGCCAAAGTGTCAGGCTCCCAGCACAATGTGAATGCTGTGGACACTGCCAGGGATGAGGATGCCCATGGCCAGTCCCCTTGGATGGTTGTCAGGGTGCTGCTGCCAACATAAGCCAGAGGAAAAAAGGACATTTTTCTCCCAGTTTTTCCCTTTGACACACATGAATAGAATTTCATGGGACATGGAAAACCTTACACCTTTGCCCTCCAGGAGTTTTTCTCCTGCTAAATTTCAAAGATCTGCTGCAAACCATCTATGGCTTGGATTCCTGCAGGTAAAAAGTTTACAAGAATTTTCTCAATGGCAACTTGGCCAGTCTGAGTCAGGAAATCAATACCAACTCTTTCCATTGCAGGTGGTTTTACTCATGAAGTATAAAACAACCTTGAAGTTTGGGTGTGAATAATCATGTAGCCCCAGCATAATACTCCAGAAGGGGAAGGCATAAGAGGGAGAAGGAAGGGGAAAGTAACTAAATGGTGAAGCAGAGGGTGTTCACTCTTCTGTGAAGATATTCCTCATCTGAAAAAAAAAAAAGGAGGCTGAGAACACCAGGAGAAAAAGAAAAAAACTGGATGACAAAGAGGCAGATGAAATACTTAGTAAACAACTACTTACAGAATTAGTATTCTCTTCTAAAGTTATAAAATGTGGCAAGCTTAGCTTACCCTGAGGCTATAGGATAAGTGGTAAAGCCATAGCTGTGTCTTAGAAGCCTTCAACTATAAACCTTGTCAGCTTTTGTATTGCATTAGTGCACATTAACAGTGATCTAGGAAATGCAGTAAGAAAAATTAGGTATTTTAAACCTCATAAAGAGGGTTTGGAAAATAAATTGGTGGCAGAATGGGGACAAAATAGAGCACGTATTTTGGAAAGAAAAATGGAACACAGAATAAAACTAAGAGGCTGAGAACACAAGAAACACCCTAATGGGTTCACCTAGCCCACCTTACCTGAGAGGGAAGACTGAGATCAGTAATGTGGCCTTCCTGGGTAAGGAGATTATTTGAATTCCAGGTGTGCTGACTCTGGGGATTCACCTGAATGTGGAGAAACTGACTGTATAATTTGTAGTGAAAACTGAATTTACACCTTTAAAAATGGAAACAGAGCAGTGGCAGTAGGAGATAGCTTTGGAAGTGCATGAAAGCCTGGTAACTTTCCTGCAACCCTTCCTTTCCCCAGTACCTGCTGTTGTTGTAGCAGGCCTGCCCCATGGCACAGCCCTGCCTGTTCCATCCAGGGGTTTTTTTAATGATGTGTCATTCCTGAAATGCTTTCATTCCTTTTTGAACCTCCTGATATTACTGGTGTCCACAGCTTCCTGTGGCAGCAAGTTCTCAAAAAGTTTGCTAGCCAGTGTGTGTGTGTATAATATTTTTTTGAAAGTAGGCTCTGTCTTAAATTACCTTCCTACTTGCTTTATGGATCAGTAGCGCAGGGTTTGAACTACAGCTTTGTTTTCACCTTCATGCTTTTGTAAACCTCAAGTATACCTTACCTCACCTCAGGTGTCTTCTCTGCAAAGTGACAAATCCCAGCCTTTTTCCCTCTCCTTGCAAGGCAGCTGGCTCATCCCTGGGTTGGTTTTGTTGCCATTTTCTCTCTGTTCCCTGGCAAACTCGTTTGCCATCTTCCTGGAGATGGGAAGGTCTAAAACATCCCAGCCCTCCAGCTGTGGGTGCACCAGAGTTTTATGTGGAGGCAAAATGACACTTTCTGCCTTGTTTTCATGCCTCTCCTGACACACCCAATACTGCCTTGGCTTTTTTTTGACTGTCAATGCACCCCACAGCAGTGGTTTCAGAAAACTGCCTGGCTGAGTCTGAGGGATCTTTCCAGAGCTGCAACCATTAGTGCCAAGCCCAGCATCCAGCAGGGATGGTGTAGCTGAGGATTTCCTCTCAAGGAAGTATTCCCTGCCATTTATCTACACCAAAGCTCCTCTGGGCATTTGCTCTGCTTTGTGGGGCCCTTCTGGAGTTTCTATTAGGGTGGCACCTGTCCAGTCAAAAGAGCTTAATGAGAGTGAGAAATGCAAGAAAGAAGGAAAGACTTGAAAGGAAAATAAAAAGGTAAGTAACTAGTTTTCAGTTTTTTGTGCTAGTACTTAGCATTTTGATATTGTCTTTATAATGTGATTTTTAATTATTTTTCTCTAAATAGGTGCATGAATATAGCATATGGTTGCAAATGATGAAAAGATAACTGGAATTTTCAGTTGGTTTTATTACCTGGTTTTAACCCCTCTAAGACATTTTTAATTTTAAAAATTTTCAATAAAAGCATCCTGGAGAGATTTCCTCTACAGTTCTTCTAATTTAATCCATACTCATCAATAAGGAAAAGCTGCAGCTGGGGAGAAATAAATAAACACCTCCAGTAATGCAATCAAGACACAGCTACACGGTACACAAGGAAGGGGAAAATCAGCAGAATGGCAAGGAATAGCTAAAGAAATTCAATTAAATAAGGGTTTGTGTAATTTTAAAGTATTCCTCTCTCTTTTAATGTTGTCAGCTGTTCTTACCTGGGACTATTTCACCTTTGGAAGTTGGTTTTGAAAGGTGACTTGTGATACTTCTGACAGTATCAGACTGGGTCAGCTTTGGTTGAGTTTAATGCCCATCTTCAGCGGTGTTACCACAATTTCTGTTTAATTATGAGTAAAGTCTAATTGCAGATGAGGAAAGTGACCAAGACCTGTCTGGGTACTGGCCCGGGGTCAGTGTGAGCCCTGCCAGAGGAAGGGGATGTGGTCACCATGTCTCAAGGGCAGCGAAAGCAAATTGCTCATGCCAAAGAGGCACCTCTCAGCCTGCTGCCTGAGGAAAGGAGGTTTTGCCATGCTCACACTACACCTAACTTTCCCAGGAACTTTTGAACCTGGCGGTCAATTCCAACAGAATTGGTCCGGGGCAAGGTACAGAACCCTGAGATAAGCTCCAACTGCTTTTTGAAGAGAAGTGGCTGCAGGAAAGAGACCTGGTGGTGGCTTCAGTGAGGAAAGGTGGCAGTGAGAGTCCCCTTCTCATTGAGCAATGGAGAACTGACACTGTCACGGACCTTAAAATAACTCCACTGGGGGAAAAAATGCAGTTGGAGATTATCTTCCCAGACAAACATCACTCACCTGTTAAGACAAGCATTCGTGGGAAACCTGGCCTCTTAATTACAGTGTGGCACAACTTGTGTGCTACACCTGAGCTCTGCAGCTGCAGCCTACCCTGCCACATGGCAGATTCTGAGCTGATTTAATTACAGACTTTTGCAAGAAGCTATCCAGACCTGCTCCAGGTCAGCTGATGGCTTTTGAGGGTTCCTTTCACTAACAGTTTTTATAAGGACTGAAAATGTCTGTGCCTGTGACCAAAACACTTTTTCTTTTCATTTCAACCAAAACACATTTCTACTGCTCAAAGTATGAACTGTTTTCAACTCATAAAACTTGCCCACCTAAATAATATGGCTGTTTGTCAGAAACCTGGTAGGCCTGCAATATTCTCTCTTACAAATTACTAACAGCTCATACTCATCTTCAGTCTTGTTCTCAAACTTTGTAAGAGGGAGGGAATTAATACCTCGGTTACAGATCAAAGCCCCCAGGAACCTGTTATAATTGGAATTCCTGTTATAATTGGAATCTGAGGAACAGGATTTGGTGCTTCCTACATCTGTGGGGTAACAGAACACTGTCAAACCACTGAAATTTCTTGTTCTTCATCATCATGTACCTTTTACATCAAACTTTTAAATGAAAACACCGTAAAGCTCTCTGGATAACTGATAACTACTGTTCCAAAATCCACTTTTGAACAACTTACCTGCCCTGTGGTTCACGCTGTATGTGCAGACTGTATGTGTGAACTCTGAGAACAACCCCAGGTGAATAAAACATGAAAACCCCACAAAATTTTAAGAAATAAGTTTTCCAGTGTCCAAGCCCACACTCAGCTACTCCTTAGCATTTTTTGAATGCGAAACTGATTAACCTAAACATACACAACCTTAACCAGCCTGTCCAGAATCTGGCAGACAGGCAGCTCAAACATGGGCAGTGCTTTGGGGAAGGCTACCAAGGACTCTGGGGCATTTCCTCATGTGAACACTCAGTGTCCTTCTCTTGCTCTTTCCTGATCAAAAAGTCCGTCTCCCAGCTCTGAAATAACTGCTTTATTTTCAGACCACTAGCTTGCCAGTAAATAATTTCAGGTCTCAAGTGCAAAGTTTCTTCTGCTCCTATGTCAAACATTACAGTTACACACTTTTTGTGTGTACACAAATACATATTTCAGAATTATTAATTTAATCCCAGAATCTATAAGGATCCGCACTGGATACATGGGTGAAAATAAAGAATGCTTGCTTATGAAAGGGGATGACTACTTTTGAACTTGTGGCTGGAATGTCTGCTCACAAACACACCTGTAAATGCTTTGCTTGGATTATCATGCTGCTGGGTCCTGGCTGCTGCTGGCAGACTAATGCTCCTATTTTCCTGAGCCCATTCAATGTGAAACAGAGTTACAGCACAGTTCTCAATTGTTCCAGTAACTGCTGATGCAGTGGTATCCTTGCTGTGTTTGCTGGCTCACCATGCAACTCTTTATGATCCAGATCTACGCACAAATCCTGCTTCAGACAGATTTTTTTCATGCAATTCAAAGGGGAGGCAGCACCCACATTCACCCTCCCCCTGCACTGAGCGTGGACAACTGACAGGTTTGGTAGATCCACCTTGCTTCTTGTGAGCCTAGTGAATGCTAGGGCTGCTCCAACAAGGCATTCTTTGCTCAAGGATGGGAAAAAAAGCCCCAAAAAACAAATAAACAAAGAAAAAAAATGCCAAGCTCAGTCCATCAGATTAAAAAAGCAGCCACTACCCTCCTTCCTGGAAGGCAGCAGGACTCCTCAAGTAAGCCAGATGCCTACTGGCATTCCCTGGATGCCAGGGATCACCTCCCTTCAGCAAAAGCCCATTTTTGTTCCATGTCTTCCAACTTCCTTCCCAGGAACATCCTTCCTTCCCACAACTGATCCCCAACCTGGGCCCCAGGATCTTGTCCTTTAGCAGAAAGCCACGTTCATGTGCTGCCTATTCCCAAAACCAACCCAGGTGTCCTCTGAAGTTCTTAAAGGGTTTGCTCTGTTACAGTATTTTGGCACAAAGGCCCCCATTTATTATGCCTGGTAAACTTTTATTCAGTTTAAGCTGTCACACTTGGGCAACGTGGCCTGGTGTGACACCAAGCACTCAGCATCCAGAGGAAGGCAACACCTCAGGTGATGCTGCTGCAGCAGCCAAAGCTCAGGAGGAGATCCATCACCCCCAATTTTCTTCCTTGTGCACTTTTTTATTTTTATGTTAACTTCTCACGATGGCTTTGCACACAACTTCAGCTCAGAGCATGAAATGAACACTCACCCATATTCTAAAAATTCTTAGTGACCTGTGTGGGACTCAGCTTTGTGGGCCTGCAAAAAGAAAAAAATGGGTGCCCACGTTTAGCTGTGTGAAATTTAGAGAACAGTTTAAATATATCAGCTTTTTGTTTGCAGTCCAAAGAGCAGATGGTGGTTTAAATATTTTTAAAAGGTTTGTATGGGATGGAGCACAGACCCACAGGAATGTCTCTCACCCTTAAGACAGCACTGTGCAGTGATGTTATTATTGGACATAATTAATTAGATGTAATTATTTTCACTATTTTTTCTTGATTTTTTTTTTCCCTTTTAAATTTATCTGCGGACAGGAGCAAGGTAGTGTTGCCAGTTCTATGTTCCAAAGGCAACCTTTAAACCATTTCATCAGATATTTCCACTCTGACAGTTTTTTTCCTCTGTCTGGGGAACAATTCCATAATTTACCTCTGCTAACGAGCTTTGGGAAGTTGCACGTGTGCTAACGCACCTCGCCCGAAACAAACACTTTTTGTAAACCGCAAGAGCTCCTGACTAAATCCTTCAAGAGAGCTTTGCTATCTTCCACAAAACCACCCAAATTTTCAAAAACCTTGTGAAAGCAGGCAGGTGCACGCCGTTAGGCCCGGGGACAATGGCTGGGCAGGCACGGCGGCGCTCTCGGCTCCCCGCCGTGAGGCGGCGGCGGGAGCCGCGCTCCAAGGGTGAATTCGCTGCTTTCAGGGATAACGAGCGGCTTTCCCAACAGCAAAGGCGCTCCAGACCGTGCTGCACAAAACACTGACGTCCCGCTGGAAAACACAGAGAAAAATAAAGCAGCGGACAAAGCCGTGCGAGCCCGGCTCGCGCAGAGCTCCTTTACTGGCACAGCCCGGTTCGTTCGAAGGCGGGCGCGCGGCGGGACCCCCCGGTGCCTGCCGCGGGGGCGATGGGGCCGATAAAGGCGATAAAGGCGATAAAGCCGATAAAGGAGAGAGGGGCCGCGGAGCGGTAACAGCGAGCAGCACCCGCGCCGCGACCCCCTCCCCGCGCCATGACGTCACACCCCCCTTCCCCGCGCCATGACGTCACCGCGCCCCGCGCCTGCGCGAGCCCCCACCTCTCCCTTCGCCTCGCGCCTCCCCGGACCCCTCGAGCGGGCGGTTGGGGGCTGCGTGACGGCGGCGGCACCGGGAGCACGCGCGCGCGTCCGCCCGCCCGCCCTTCGGTACCGCGAGCGCCTATCGCGAGCGCCTGTCGCGACCGCCGCCTCGCCTCCTCCTCGCGCCCGGGAGCGGAATCAGCGCCCGCGCCTGGGCTCTCCCCGCCCTTCCCCCTCCCACTATTATCCTCCCTCCCGGCGCTCCCGCCCGCCCGGGAACGCGCGCCCCGCTCCCGCCCGGCGAGGGAGTGACCCGGCGCTGCCGCCCGCCCCGATCCCCTCCATGGCTCCCGCGCCGCCCCGCTGGTGCGACACGCGCGGGGAGCGGCGGCGGCCGCGGCAGGAGGCGGAGGAGGAGCGGCAGGAGCGGGGAGTCCCGGCGCGGCCGCGGGAGCCCCGGGCGGGCGGCGCTGGGAGCGGCCGGGATTTACCGTGGTGGCGGTGGGCGCTGAGCGGCGGGGGAGCCGGGCGTCCCCGGGGCCGCCGCCTCTCGGGCTGAGCCCCCCCGCCCGGACCATGGCCGACGACGACGTGCTGTTCGAGGACGTGTACGAGCTCTGCGAGGTGATCGGCAAGTGAGTGCGGCGGGGAGCGGGCAGGGCAGGGCTGGGCGGGGGGAGCGCTGCCCCGCGCCCCCCGCCCGCACCGGGCACGGGGATGCTCCGCCCGGGACCCACCTGAGTCGCCGCCGGCGGGTCCGTGCCGGGTGCGGGCCCCCCCCGCGGCCGGTGCCCACCGTCCTCGTCACACGGGAGGCGGAAGGGGGAGAAGTGACCCCATGTTTCCTCAGCCACCATGATTAACCACCTCGCCATCGCTCAGCCTGGCTGCAGCAAGCGGCAACCACTTCCCACCCCTTTTCTCCTCCTCCCCCCCGATATCCCATTCCTGGCACACCCATCAAGGATTGCCTCTTGGGGAAGGGAGAGGGAAGACAGCTCTCCGTAGATCCACCTATTCGCTGGGTGTCTGTATATTTGTGCGCCAGGTGTTGGGTTTTCCTCTTCTTTGCTGCATAATAACCAGCTTGGTAGTGGCGCTCGGGTAGAGCTCGGTTCTCGTTCAGATCCGTCACTCCGGTTCGTGTGGAAATGGAGATGTACAAGGCAGGAGGAGTGCTTGGCCTTTTGAGTCTTATTATGCAACTGCTGTTAAACCGATGCTCGAGGCTTGTGTGAAACCTGGGAGTTGAGGCAGTGGCTGGCGTTCCCCAGCTGCTGTTTCGGGTTACCGCTGCTGGATGAAAATGACAATTAGAGTCACCAAGAATATGCAGAGACTCCCCCAAATCAGATGGTGATAAAGAATTAAACCTGAACTCCATTCTCCCCTGCCCCCATATTTCCGTGACTGCTCAGTTTTGAAATCCATTCTTTATTTCTTCACCGTCTTTCATGTATTTTCTGTAGTTGTGTCTGTGTTGCAAAAAGGACAGGAAAGATACAGTGATACTGAGACTGCCTAATTTTCTGTGTGTCTGATTCCAAAGCTGAGATTGCTCTGCAAGCCTTAGTAGTGACACTGTTCAGTGTGCTTGGAGTTTTTTCTTCGTGACAATGGATTTTATGAGAATAATTGACCGTGTTTTGGTTATAAACAAAGAATGTTTCCTGCATGTATTCTCTTGCCCGCTCTCCACCCCGATGCTTTTCAGTGTATATGGAGTGCTGTCTGCTTTCAAAGCCAGGGCTAAAAATATTCCAGAATTAATCTTTTCTCGGGATTATACTGAAATGCTGGTCTTGGACATAGCAGGTGGCTTTGTTGTCAGCAGAAGTTTCAGCTCTCAGTTGTGTTGTTTCACAAGACACTAGCACCTTGCTCCTAACACAACTTTTAAAAATACTAAGCTCCAAGGGCCTTGTTTGCCATCATAAATGGTAAATGATTGCTTTAACTTGATGCTGTTGAGGCGCTTCTGTAGGAGCAGAACTCTTGTTGTTAAAGGTGTTTTGAATACGATTTTTGGCACATTCCTTTCACAAGTGGTTTTATGCTAACCACTGCAGTTCACACTCGGATTTATTCCTGCCCGATTGCCATTAGGAGGAAGGTGCAGTGCTTATGCATGACCGCACACCCTTTCAGAGGATGCATGATCGATTCACAGGGAGCCAGATGTTTGCACATCTCCGCTGACTTTTTGTTCTGTGGCTGGAGAATTTAAAAGGGAGAGCTCAAAACCGGTGGATTAGGTGTTAGCTGCAGAAGTTCCACACAAGATTTAGGTAGTGTAGAGAGTGTTGTGATGTAACTAGATCTAACAGATAAATATTGAATCACAGCAGCAGGATGATGCCAGGAACACTGAAGCAAAAACAGGGTGTATCACTGAAAATACCAGCAGTGGTGGTGTGAAGGGCCGATAGCTGGTTGTGATTACTCAGGTTTTTCCACACAGGTGTCAAGTCCATCCTCTAAAAATACCCAAACATTTAAAATATAAATACACAACTTTCATGTACAATTTATGAGTGGTATTCCTGTTTCTTTGCAATGCTACGCAGGTAAATTCCAAGGGACCAGAGGTTCAGCATCATTATTTAGCTTAAAGACTCTGGGTACCTCCTTGCCTGTCCATAGGAAACTTCAGGAAAGCTGCTGTAAATCTGCTTTGAATTGCTACATATGCATCTGACCAAACATCTTTCAGTGAAACATACACTAAATGTCTGCATGTCCCTGGGATTTGTTATTGATTGATGCAGTGATTTAGTTCTTGCAACTAGCACATCTGGCTCTCATTTGCATTTCGGACACATAAAATACTAAAATGTGTAATTTATCTTCCTAAATAGGTGGTTACCACTGTCACTAAGTGTAGTAAAAGGTATTTTCATAAAGGGTGTGGAGAAAGGTCTTTGCCTGTAAAATGTTTTGAGTGTTTAGGCAAAGTTCTCATACAATTTACCAGAGAAATCAGGAGATACTTTCTTGGCTGACAGTAGACAGTCCAATTTGTTGAGGCATATTCTGATCTTTAGGATAAGCTTTAAACACTTCTAAATACAATAAACTGATAAGACTGACTTTGAGTAAATGCAGCAATAATAGCTTTTGGTGAGGAACAATTACAGGGTAATAGTATATGAATGAATTGATGGGAATGACAATGATAAACTGTTTATTGTGTGACATTTAGTGTGTTTAAGTTCTGCAAGCATGCATTTTTCATTTTTAAGGGGTGTGGGTGGAAAGAAAGGCCAGGAGGGATAGAGAGAAATTCTAGTTCATGTTTTCATTAGAAAAAAATGTTAGGGGAAATCTTATTTTGCATATATTTCCAGTATACCTTTCCATTGCTGAAAGCTATATGAAAATACAAATTGGAATAACAATCCAAATTTCTCATTGAACTTTTTTAAGTGGCATTTATGACACTAACATTAGTCATGTATTTTTACTTAACCAGGCTTGTTATGTTTGAGGTTACAGTCTCTTCAACTTGGCTGACAAACATTCTTCAGAAAGAAATAAATTGAGGGTTTCTTTATTAGCCTTCAGAAATGTGTTAACTCAGGATAAGTGATAGTGATGAAAAATACAAGTGTGCCATTTTTTTTTCTAACTTGCTTCCAGGTGACTATGAAGAGATTGCCCCTGTGTATTGGTTGAGAAGTACACAGTCTAAAAGCTTTAAAGCTGTTCCTATGTGGATCAGACCATGTGTTTGATTGACAGCTCGCAGATAGTAGTGCTAAGTGTACTTGTTTATTTTTTATTAGAATTTTCATTCAAAATGCTTTGAGTAGTTTATAAAACGTAGTAGGTGTAACATTGAAACTTGTTGGCTACTCATCCAAGGTGCAGTCTGTTCTATCATAGGAGCGCCACATACACATAGCAGGAGTTTTCTTTATGCCAGAGAGAGAATGCCTGTCTTCAGTAGGTGTTGAATCTAGAAGAGTGAGGCAAGGTTTTTATGATAGAGCCTTGTTCTGCAAGGACTTTATTTTAAATTACCTGGTTTTACGTTTCTGTAGCTCTTAAGATCCATATCAGTTTATGTTAGCATTAGAGGAGAACCATAAAGATCGTCTGACCTTTCTAACAGTAGGACTTAAATTTCTCCAAATGTTTAAGTTGTAAATACAATGGGATAAAGATGATAGTCACTTATTGTGTTTAGAAGGGCTTTGGTCACAATTGAAGTCATTAATCCTGGGATGCCTTAGGAAGAGCATGCCTGGCAGCTGGAAGGAGGGGATCCTGTCCCTCTGCTGCACCCTGGTGAGGATCACCTGGAGTTCTGGGCTCCTCAGGACAGGAGAAACATGGAGCTCCTGGAGTGATCCAGTGGAGGGTGACAAAGATGATGGAGGGACTGCAGCATCTCACTGAGGACAGGCTGAGGGAGCTGGGCCTGTCCAGCCTGGAGAAGAGAGGGCAGAGAGGGGCCCCCATCCCTGTGTGTCAGTGCCTGCAGGGACGGGCAGGGGATGGACCCGGCTCTGCTCCATGGTGCCCAGCAATGGGACAAGAGGCAGCAGGCACATTGATGCACAGAAGTTCCACCTGAACATGAGGAAGAATTCCTTCCCTGTGCAGTGACTAAGCACTGGATCTGATTGTCCAGAGAAGGCGTGGAGTCTCCCTCGCTGGATCTATTCCAGACACATCTGGACACAATCCTTTGCCAGATGCTGTGGGATGACCCTGCTTGAGCAGGGAAGTGGGACCAGATGACCCACGGTGGTCCCTTCCAGCCTGATCCATCCTGTGGTATTAAAAGTCACTTAAACTGTACATTTTTGTCATTTTTTAATTCTGTTTGTGGGCTGTGCGTGCCATCACTGGGTATGTAGTAGTGCAATTGTTGGCATTTCCAGTACCCAAGGATACCATGATGTTTGGTGCTAATGCTGTCAGAGCTTCCAGGATATTCTCTGAAATCTTGGTTAAGGCTAATCCTCTTCTGCACTGCATGTGTGAGGATTTTAGTTGTTTTCGTCCCTCTTTGCTCTGTGATGGGATGAATCTTTCTGCTTGGGCTCTTCTTCATCTGGTAAAGAGTAGTTAAAGAGCAAGAGCCAGCAGGCATTGCTCCCTTCTTCCTTCTCTTTCCAGACTGCCAGCACCGCTGGAACACCACAGATGTGAGCTGAGGATGCAGTCATGGGACAGGGTTTATTTGTTTGGTTGGGTTTTTTTCATTAAAGTTTGAAGGCTTCTAGCCCACTGAAGTCAGGGGTGGTGGTTGCAATTCCAGCCTGAGCTCTTACCTGGAGTTGGAGGTGCTTTAGATTTATGCCTCAGTCTGGGGGTGTTCAATAAAAGGATGACAGAGCTCGTGGATTCCTTGTCCAAGAAATACTTAAAAATATAAAAAGTATAAAAAATACTTTTAATAGTTGTAATTATTGTGGTAACAAAACTATTTGATGGTTTCAGTGGTATTGTTTTTCGTTATTGCCTCCATTTTCACTTAGAGGAATTAGAATGCTGTTGACTCTCAAACATACTTTTACTCTAGTACACTGTTGAGACCTTTGCATTTCCTGTAAAACTAATGCAAACAACTGATGGGTGTACTTAATGACAAATCAAATGGATATGTGAAAC